ATTTCTGCCATAAAAAGCAGCTTCTCATAAAAATACAATCGCCGTTCGGAGTCGGAGTAAAACTATATTTTAATTCGAAGTTCCTAAAAAAAATAAATAAACATGAAAGACAAACAATATCAATTTAAAATGTGGGTGCTATTGTATAGGCCAATACTGTATGTATTTCAAAACCCCAGATGCCGATTTCATACCCTATTCCTATTTGCATCAAACTTTTTTGAAATCATCCTTCGAGTTTTTAAGCTTCAACTGCCTACGGTCTTCGCGGTACTTTATTTCCCGCTATTGTTAATAGATGCTAACTTTTACTGTTTTTTATGTATGTATGTATGTATGTACATTTTTAACTTACCTCAATTATTTGAATTGAATTTCTTTAATTTAACTTTTGTTCTTTTTTTTGCTGTTTAATTCTAGAACAGTCAAGCAGCTTCCAAAGCCATTTGGGAAAACATTTGCAAGTGCCTAACGAAAACACAACATATTAGGTTATATTAGTCCATTCGAGAGCAATGTAACATGTATACGTATGTAGTTACAAAAACTTTTATATCCTATAACATACATAGCTAATTTAAAGTAAATATATTTTTCGCGAAGGTCGAAAATGCCTGTTTATTTATCACTTACTTTATAAATTTATTATAGTGTGTTTTATACAACCCAAAATGGCAATGTTCCAATGTATTGCATAACTCAATAAAAATTTTAAAAACTAGAGAATTTTGGATTTAAAATTTTCTTTCTCTTATTTAGTACACATATGTACATGCAATATTTCATTACGTTTCGTTGAACAGAAATTAACGATTTAAATAAAAATGCATTGGCTTACCAAATTGGCTTGGAAACTTTATTTTGACAAAAAAAAAAAGAAATTTAAAATAATTATTTTTACTAACTTTGCCTTTGAATCAAAACACAACTGCATACTTTTTGCACACTCTCTATTACTTTTTTGCTTCCTAGGATTACTAAACTTACACCAAAACTGAGCAAACACGTTCGCGTGAGGATAGAAAATATTTTAAGGCAATTAAATAACACAGTGCAGACCCGCATTTTAAGCAATTTTACGGTAAGTACAATGAAATTTATTTTCGTATTGCAAGTGACTTCATTATGTATTTTTTTACAGATTTGCGAACCGCCTCATTTCGATACGACTGGCTTACTTCATTCCAACCGTCTATATGGGCCAAGGGTATCGATATTAGTTGATGAGTGGTAAGTTTTTAAATCAATTTACGAATACTGTCATACAAATCAGGACCAGCTATTAGAGCTTTCTCACAAGCCGGTGCCCTGTTACATACATTTCGCGGCGGTAAAACGCCTGCCAGGTAAATCTAAACGGATGCGTCTGTAACGGCACTAGCACCTGCTACATTTGTATTGTTTGAATCAGAAGAGTTTAGCTTTTCAAGAACGAAACAATTTTTATTGGCGAGTACTGAAAGGTATACATGCATTTGTACTTCCATGATCCGATATAGAAAAGTTTAATTATGAAAAAGCGAAAGAATTGGAAACTGAAAAAAACAGTGGGTACAAATGGAAAGAAATCACTAGACATTCTAAAGCTGGGATCCCATTAACGGCGCAAATAGCACAATATGTACCGATTTTCATCGTGCTTGATTGGTAACATATTTAAACAAATTGTATGTACAACTACTTTTTGAGTGGTCCCATTATCAGCGCATATTGCCACAATCTTTTTCGGTGCATATCGGCCAAATTAATTATGCGACGATAATCGGTACAACATAATCACATTATCGTGCTTGATTAATAATAACAATAAACAAATTGTCGACTTTGATCGCGGCATGAGCACCCGATAAAATTCGCCGCATGTTTACCATTTTGATTGTTCTACAATGAGCAAAAGAGTGTTCACATTATGGGTACAGCAATATTAATTGCTTATAGTCAGCACAATTTCGGCTCAGATTGCCGCATTTCGAAAAATTTTGTTTGTTCACACTATCGGTATATGAAGCGCGCCGAAAATCGGTCCATTGTGCCGATAATGGGGTCTCTTAGCTTAAAAGATACCCATAGAGAGTATTATTTTCCTGTTGATAGATAATATTGTGCTGCTGAAAAACACAGCTGAAGATTGCGTTATGCAATATTTTGAGTTGGACATCTTATTCCCATTTTTAACATTTACTTTTTACTGGCTAACCAGAATGTAGTATCACAGTCACAAACTATTTCGCTAACTACATCAGCAATAATACACCACATCCACGGCTACGTATTGTACCATAGCCTTACCATTCTGGTTAGCCAGTAATAGCCCTGACAGACATATGGTTTAAATATTATACTAGCATTCTATACTACATGTCTGTCGTTGTAAACCACATTTATGCCATCGTACAAAGTGGTTTGAAGCTGGTTCCTATACTACGAAAATGAACGTGGTATAAAGCGAGTATACCATGAAACACAGCCAGAGAGTAAAAAAAAATTTCACCAAAATTGTGTGGTGAAAACAGAGACAGTGAACTGATAGCATGTATGTACGCCATTTTGCTCGCGCAGGTCCAACAGTCGCAATGGACGAGTGATCAGAGCGCTAGAGTGTCACTTGAAAGATCCGAGATCGAGTCCGAGATAGTTCACTCAAAATTGACATTTAGAATAACTTTTAGACGAGAAATAAGAATATTAAAAATTTTTGAAAAATGGGCGTAGCCACGCCCACTTACAGTTACATGTGTATATTTTGGTAACCGCTGCACCAATTTCTTACAAACTTGGCACAGTTGTTGACCCTGGTACAGCATACCAAATGGCCGAAAATTTTTAAAATCGGACAATAACCACGCCCACACCCATATAACGGTAATTTCGAGAATTACGAAATCCTCGATAAATCAGTAAATATTAAAGCTAATTTATTCAAAATTGATGGTTGCAACAATTCTTTATCAGAAAATACGCTTATGATAGAATTTTGGAAAATTGGCGTGGCACCGCCCACTTATGATCACATATATGTATATCGTTAACCGTTTTAGCAATTTGTACCAAACTCCGGTATGGTTATTGTGCTTGCCACATAAAAGCAAACCGTTGATAATTATTGAAATCGGACTAAAATTACGGCCGCTTTTCATATAACGGTAAATTTCAGAAATGCTTGAAATTTCAATATTTCAAAATTTAAGGATGCTAGTTTACTTAATATTTATAGACCCCGGCTTATCATGTAGCGGTATGTTTCGGAAAGGTGGAAAACATATATTTAATACTTGCGCCGGGTATTTAATGTTCGGCTCCGCCCGAACTTATACTTTCTTACTTGTTTCTTTATTATTTAATTGTTCTTTTTTTTTTTCTTAATAAAAATAAGCAGCTAATGCACTAGAAATGTTGTTGGAATATTTTATTTTCATCAATAAATAATAATAATAATAATAATAATATTAAACAAAATTTTTTTCATTGAACTTGTATGATACTAAAGAACTTATTTAGGTTTATTTTCTAATGAAATTGTTCTTAAACAAATATTTCCTCCCTTCAAATAAAATACAAAGGAATTATCTTTTCCTCCATATTTTTATTTTGAAATTTACTCTGTTATTCAGTAAGCTGTCTCACGTTTTAGTCTCAAAAAGAAAGATATGGAGGAAAAGAGAATTGCTTTCTATTTTATTTAAAATAACGCGTAAATGAAGCGAGGAAATATTTGTTTAACAACAATTTCATTATGAAATAAACCTAGGTACTTTAAATCATAAAAAGTCAATAAATAAAAATGTTTTTTTTTTTTTTAACATTAAAATCTTCAGATTATTTAAAAAGGAATTAAAAAATAAAAATAAATCATAAAAAAAACTCGTCCACGGGAACTCGAACTCGGATCTCTCTAGTGGTACTCTAGCGCTCTGTTCACTCGGCCATTGCGACTGTAAAGGCCCGTCCACATAGAACTTTGGCGTTGCGTTGGCGTTGGCGTCGCTTCAACAGCTGACTATGGATACATGAATTCAAATGCAGCCGTCCACATAGCCAAAATTCGACAACGCTCACGCCAACACAAAGCAAAAAGATGGCCAACTCTCAACTTTTCGCGTGCGTCGTCAGCTTTTGCAAATAAATAAAATTATGTGAAATATCCCTGCAGGTAAAGCTACCAGTTGTGAACCAGAATGCTACCAGTTTGCGTTTCAGCCCAACTAGTTCACGATGTATCCTTTTTCAATGTTAGCGACTGGTATTTTTAACATGGCGGTGTCGTAGGAGATGTCAATTGTCCGCTCCTGCATCAGCACGCTAACAGTAGAAATACTAGTAGCATAATACCAGTTGACGGGATAGACTTCCTATTCATCCCCCGTGAAAAGCATAAGTATGTCATTTTGCTCGCGGCGCTGCAACAGTGGCAATGGTCGGCAGAGTAAAGCTATGGCACGCCAAATCAAGAGATGGTCCGAGTTCGAATCTCAGTGAGCGAACTTTTTTTTATTTTATTTTTTATTTATATCTCTTGTTGTAATTTTTAAATTTATGGTATTATTTAAAAAGAATAAAAAATTATTTATTTTCATTTTTTATGGTATTAGAGTATTTAGGTGTTTTCCAAATGAAATTAAATTTACGTACAATTTTTATTTTATATTTAAATTGAAATAACTATTTAAATTAATTTACTTACTTTACTTTAAAAACCTACACGCGCACTTGAACCTGAGATCTCAGAACCAGAATCGGTAGTCTTCGCTCGACATTTGTGATGAAAGCAATTAACCGCATTTTAGTTTTGGTTGTGGCTGTTCAAAGACAGATGTCGCTGATCGCATAAGTTGTTCGAAATCACCGAAATGGTAGGCCGTCGCTTTAGCACATACTAGTTAAGGAACTAGTATTTATACTGGCTGGTTTGGCATTTCACTGCGAAGAACTGGTATAATTATAGTCCATTACGAACTGGTATAACTTCCCTATTTAATACCAGTTTTCGAACTATAATTTCTACCAACTAGTTTACTTTTTTCTATGAGGAACTGGTATAATTATGGTTCATAACGAAGTGGTATGACTTTTATCCTTAAATAATAGTTCATGAACTGGAATTTGTGCATACTGGTTCAGCTTTTCACTGCAGGGATTTTCCTTTTTAATCAAGTGCGGGCAAGAAATATCGTTTTTAATGCAATTATTGATATGAAATATTAATTTATCTGTCGTTAGTATGTTAATTTAGTGGCCCAAGCATTCGCTGCCAAGCGTTCATTGTAGCAAGCATACTTTTAACGTGCGTTCGTTGTAGCAAGCATACTTTTAACGTGCGTTCGGTTAAACCAACGCCAACGCGAAAGTTCTATGTGGACCGGCCCTAAGAGCAGCGCGAGCAAAATGGCATACATACAAGCTATCAGTTGTGATAAAGAAACAAAACATCGGTATACGTACTAGATGTGTGTCGAAATAGTATCAAAATCCATAGTATACATACCATGGTGTACAAACCACATGTCTGTCAGGGCTATAAGAAGTGCTACTGAAGTGTCATAAAAGAGTATCGCTGTAACACATAAAGCACTTGCGGTGTGTGGCAATATTTGCAGTTGCGTTCCACAACCCTATCGTGAACGGCTTGTAATTTTTTAATGAAAGCGCCAAGGCAGGTGAAACTGTGTTGGCATTTTTGGTGCAATTGTACTTTTTTTGATACAATTTCGTTTACAATATGTATACTTTCCCACTACGCAGCCCTTTTTAGTACGATTTTGTGATGAATACTAAAAATATATAACCCTGAAAATTCATTGCTGGAATTTTTGTGTTCTCTTGAAAAAATATTAAAAATGTCTTGAGCGATCTATTATAACACAACGAGGTGTGCTATCAGCTTTACATTCCTAGGCAAATTTTTAAATATTTTCAATACTAAATCTTATTGAAACAAAATTTCGAAATCGGCTTCAAATAGAAACAACGGGCCATATGCGTAAAACCTAAGAAAATGCTTTTTCTTAAAAGTTCAGACCTTTTACTCGATTTGTTCAAATAAATTTAATTGAAAAGTATGAAGTTTTAAGTAAAAGCAATTGCTTAGTTTTTATGCATACGGCCCAATGTCTTCGTTAATTAAAACAAAAGATTTTCTTCTATATATAGTGCTTACAATAACTTTACGACATTCACACATTGACAAGATTAGACTATTTATTTTATTGTTTAAATTTTGATTGTTTGTTTAT